ACCCTTTGCAACACCATGGACCATCGCCTGCCAGGCTCCTCTGTCCATGGGATTTCTCAGGAAAGAATACTGGAGTGGGTTGCCATTTCTTTCTCCAGGTGATCTTCCCAACCCAGGGATCGAACCCAAGTCTCTTGCATTGCAGGTAGATTCTTTACCACTGAGTCACCAGGGAAATTACAGATTAGCTCTTAATATGTAGAAGAAAACTTTCTAAATTATATTTTACTAAGCATTTTAGCTTTTTTTACTTTACAGAGTTGGTTTAAATTATGTAAATAACCATTACTGGAAATGAGAACCCTTTAGTAAATGTCACAACAACCACAATATAATCATAACCCCAACATCAGTTAATCCATGGCATCAAAATGGATTTGTATCTACTCAAGGAAGAAAGTCACAATTAACTGTTTTCTGTCACATAGCTGAAGGCATGGGATATAATATGTCTTATTAGGCAAATATTCATTGGGTTTTGGGTTGTGAATGAGGAAGATATATGATAGCATTATATTCAGTTTTCTAAAGGTACAGTTTAGGTAGTACAGTAATAATTCAGGTAAGCCATGCACATGCACACAGATAAATTTTATGGTTTAAAACACTCTAAATCTATTACTTTAATGAAAGTAAGTGCTGAGCATTTTGGGGAATTTAATCATAGTGGATTCTGATTACCTGCTGTTATCTAAGTAGGAGTTGCCTTCTACTGGTTATGTGGCTTCTCTGCACCAATCCCCATCAGGCTGAAAAATATCAGATCAGGTTTAGGAAAGAATTCAGCCTTTGTATAAAAGAACTATCTACTCATTAGATTCCACTGATATTTTCAGTGTCTATTTCCTTGGCAGCCTTCTTGGTGAAGCCTTATTTATCTGATTTAAATTTCCCTGAAGAGTCCAACTCACATCAATTTATTCTGATTTGATGTACTGAAGTCCACTTTCTGTACTGGTCTCTTTTTGGCATCTTCTGTCTCCAAGATTCTAGTAGTTGGGTGAAGCCCAACAATAACCAGAAGTCCAAGACTAACTCAAGTTAAGCATATGTATACATGTATACATACATATATATATATATATAATATGGTAGAATGTATTATATATATGTATATAGATATGTTATATGGTAGAATAAATTATATATATATGTATATATATATATTATATGGAAGAACATGCTAGAAGCAGGCAGGTGTAAAGATAAATTTAGTGTAGGTAAGTGGAACAGATTTTTTCCTTATGGTTAATATTTTTGTGTATTATTTTAAAAATTCTTCTTCTCTACAAAGTCATGAAGATAGTCTCCTACATTCTTTCCTAAAAGCTTCAAAAATTAGTCTTTCATAATTAAAACTTTGGTGAGAATAGGCAATATTAATTCATTTTCAATATCTGATGGAAGAGTTTAAATGTTTCACCATTAACTATGCAGTTGGTTCTGGGGTGTTTTGTTTTCATTTTTTCCCCATAGCTAGACTTTATCAGGTTAAGAAAGTTCCTTTATACTTCTAATTTACTAAGAGATGAATGCCTAATTTTATCAAACACTTTTTCTGTATTACAACGAATGTAATAATTGTGAATGTAAAAAACATGGTTTTGCTAACGTTGTTAACTTGCATTCCTGGGATAATTCCAACTTGGTCAAAGTGCATTGTTTTTTATATATCGTAGAATTCTGTTTACTAATATTTTGGTCAGGACTCTTTGCATCTATATTTATGAGGAAGTTGAATCTGTAGCCTTTCTTTCTTTTAACGTCCTAGTCAGACTTGGTAACAAGTCTGTGTGTGTCATAAAATGAGTTGGGGATGATGTTTCCTCTATTTCTATTCTTGTTAAGAGTTTGAGAAAATTTAGCAATAATTATTTTTTGTGATAAAGAACCTGTTTGCCAATGCAGGAAACTAAGAAATGAGGGTTCGATCCCTAGGTCGGGAAGATCCCCTGGAAGAGGGCATGGCAACCCACTCCAGTATTATTCAGGCTTCCCAGCTGGTGCCAGTGGTAAAAAACCTGGCTGCCAATGCAGGAGACATAAGAGACAAGGGTTCGATCCCTGGGTTGGGAAGATCCCCTGGAGGAAGGCATGGCAACCCCCTCCAATAGTCTTGCCTGGAGAATCGCATGGACAGAGGAGCCTGGAGAGTCGGGCACGACTGAAGCGACTCAGCATGCATGCATGCATGTTCTTTGAGAACTAACTCCCTTATGAAGCCATCTGGGCCTCTTCCTAAAGGAATCTTTTTTTTCCCCTCTGGATGATTTTGAGATTTTATATTTGATTATAAAAGATGTGGGCTTCTTTTCTCTTTTACTGCTGCTGCTGCTGCTCAGTCGCTTCAGTCGCGTCCGACTCTGTGAGACCCCATAGATGGCAGCCCACCAGGCTCCCCCGTCCCTGGGATTCTCCAGGCAAGAACACTGGAGTGGGTTGCCACGCCCTCCTCCAGAGGAGCTTCCACACCCAGGGATTGAACCTGAGTCTCTTGTGTCTCCTGCATTGCAGGTGGCTTTTTTTCTGCTGAGCCACCCTGGAAGCCCTTTTAACAAATAGTCTCCTTCAAATATGGCCTCTGCCACATCCTCTTTCCCATCTCCTGCTGTGACTATCATCAGACATAAAATAGACATTCTCATTCTGTTTTATTTTTCTTGATCTTTCTTTTATGTTTTCCATCTTTTGGTCTTTCCTTGCTCTATTCAAGATATTTTCTTCTGAGTTATCTACAGTTCATTAACTCTTTCTTTAGGTATGTCTAACCTGCTGTTAAACTCATCCACCAAGTTCTTAGTTCTATTTTATTTTTCAATTCTAAAATCTCTATTTTAAAATATTTTCCATGTAACTTTCATTTTTTCCTATACCCTACAGATTTATAAATGCTTGTCTTTTTTTCCCTCTAAACCTAGCCATCAAAGTTTTTCTACGTTTTGAGTCTGACGATTCCATATTTGGAGGCTTCAGGTGTATGATTCTATTTTTAAAAATCTGCTCTGCTATATTTTGTTCAAGGTGTTTTGGTTTTGTGTATGTCTGGTTGTCTTTGGTGGGTTGCTGACAATTGTACTTAAAATTATCTGTATGTTAGCATTTGCTTCTATTGGGTGATGGGGCTATTTTTAGGCAGGACCACATTGTTCCAAGTTCGAGGCATGACTCACAGAAATGCTGTAACCCCGTGGGAGCTGACTTATTTACATTTCTTACTTTTGCTAAGGATGTGGTCTTGGGACCCCAGCTTGTTAGACTCCCCATTGTATATGGGTCTGAGCTTTGATTTCTGTCTCTCTTGATCCCTGAAAATATAAAAATAAACATGTAAATATATAGGGATTGGCAGGTACTAACAGGGCAAATGCAGCTTTTGCACTTACTTACCTTTGCAGGTCCCTAATTTCCCTTAAGTTTTGGCCTGGGTATATCTTACTATGCTGTTAGCAATTTAATGATTTTACAATAGGTTTTAAAGTAATACTTTTTTTTTTTTTCAAGATCTTAGTGATGTTCGATGATTCCTAGTGGCTCAGATGGTAAAGAAACTGCCTGCAATACAGGAGACCCGGGTTCAATCCCTGTGCCAGGAAAATCCCCTGGAGAAGGAAATGGCTACTCACTCCAGAATCCATGCCTGGAGAATTCCATGAACAACAGCCTGGTGGGCTACAGTTGATGAGGTCACAAAAGGGTCGGACACGGCGGAGCGACTAACACTTTGGACTTCCCAGGTGGCTCAAAGGGTAAAGTGTCTGCCTACAATGTGGGAGACACAGGTTCAATCCCTAGCTCGGGAAGATCTCCAGAAGGAAATGGCAACCCACGCCAGTATTCTTGCCTGGAAAACCCCATAGACAGAGAAGCCTGGTAGGCTACAGCTCATGGGGTCGCAAAAAGTCGGACACAACTGAGCGACTTCACTTTCACTTTAGTGATTTTCAGCTGGTGGAAGATTGCTTCAATAAGCTAGTTCACCATTAACAGAAATTCATATTTCTCATCTTTGGGGAGGCAAAAATTTTCTTTTTCTTGATTTGTAACAAGTCTAGAGTTTGAAGGACAGCCAAGATCAGAGTTCAGGATTCTCAGACACTTTTCATTTTTTTATGATGTTTTTGAGCTCATATCGTTAGAGATATTTTGGAGAACTTGATTTCCCTTTCCCCACTGGCCACCTTGTGACTCTAAAAGAGAAAAAGACATTTCCCTCTATTCTTCTAGGTTTTTTGCTGAGACATCTCTTTTTCGTAATAAATACAGATTAACAAGAGAAAAACAAACAGAAGTTTAACAATATGTATATTTCTTGTATACATGGGAGAGATCCAGGAAAACTGAGTAACCCCCCTGAAATGGCTCCAGAAAGAAAGTGAAAGTTGCTCAGTCATGTCCAACTCTTTGTGACCCCATGGACTGTAGCCTGCCAGGCTCTCCTGTCCATAGAATTCTCCAGGCAAGAATACTGGAGTGGGTTGCCCTTCCCTTCTCCAGGGAATCTTCCCGAGCCAGTAATCAAACACAGGTCTCCTACATTGCAGGCAGATTCTTTACCAGCTGAGCTGCCAGAGAAATGGCCCCAGCCACCACCTTAAATATCAGTTTCAGATAAAGAGAAAAGAAAGGTGTTGGGGGCTGGGCAGAGTCAGTTATGGGAGGTTATCAGAAAAAGCAGAGTAAATAAGGGTAAAGTTGTTACAGAGATTTATTGCCACACCTTCTCTATTGACAAGTGTTTATTGTGTTTAGAATCATCCTTCTCTTCCAGGTGCAGAGAGGAAGATACTTCCAAATGGAGAATTCCTTTACAAATGTAAACGTCTGCTTACCAAAGAGTGACTTCTACTCTGTTTTTCAGAGTTTCTCCTGTGTCTTCTGTTTCCTAAAAATAGTCAACTCAAAAGAATTCTTATGCTAATGAGGCATATGGGGGCGGGGAGGGGGCATCCCCTTTCAAAACCAAGAGATCATTTAATTTGCTGTCTTGTTCCTATTTGCAGAGGCTGATGAATGGCAAGAGTCAGAGGAAGAGGTGGAACATATCCCATTCTCCCACACCAGATACCCAGAGAAGGAAATGGTTAAGAGATCCCAAGAGTTTTATGAACTTCTCAATAAGAGACGGTCTGTTAGATTCATAAGTCACGAGCAGGTCCCAATGGAGGTCATTGATAATGTCATCAAAGCAGCAGGTCTGTACATGCGCAGTGGGTCTTTGAGAGTGTCCGCTGCAAGAGATAGTAGAGTGATGTTGAAGTTCAAACACAGCAGACAAAGCCTGGAGTGATAGGTTTACCTGTGAAGTCTTGTTAGTGCACAATGAGGCCGAACACACCAAAATGTAGGAGTTTGGAGCAGAGAAAGGTTTATTGAGGAGAGGGGTGGTTCATTCCCTAAAAGCCCCCTGACTTCAAAGCATTTTTTTTTTTTTTAGTTTTTCTTTTTTTTATTATTATTATTTTTTTCCATTTATTTTTATTAGTTGGAGGCTAATTACTTTACAACATTCTAGTGGGTTTTGTCATACATTGACATGAATCAGCCATGAATTTACATGTATTCCCCATCCCGTTTCCCCTCCCACCTCCCTCTCCTCCCAATCCCTCTGGGTCTTCCCAGTGCACCAGGCCCGAGCACTTGTCTCATGCATCCAGCCTGGGTTGGTGATCTGTTTCACCCTAGATAATATACATGTTTCGATGCAGTTCTCTCGAAACATCCCACCCTTGCCTTCTCCCATAGAGTCCAAAATTCTGTTCTGTACATCTGTGTCTTTTTTTTCTGTTTGGAATATAGGGTTATCGTTACCATCTTTCTAAATTCCATATATATGCGTTAGTATACTGTATTGGTCTTTATCTTTCTGGCTTAATTCACTCTGTTTTTAAACCAGGTGAGGGAGAGAAGTCGCAGGGTATGTGATCCACTCAGGCACGAGTCTCTGGCTGATGGGTGGTGTTATAGGGATTAACTTCATCAAACCTTAGGCTCCAGGAGGCCTGAGGCTATGAGCTCGTGGGGTCAAATAGTTAACACCTTCCATTTGGTGGGGGGTTTCACCACCGAGAGTAATACGGAAACTTACATTACCATATGTAAAATACATAGCCAATGGGAATTTGCTGTTTGTCTCTGGGAACACAAGTAGGGGCAGTGGATCAACCTAGAGGGGTGGGATGGGGAGGGAGGTGGGAGGGAGGTTAAAGAGGGAAGGAGGGGACGTATGTGCACCTATGGCTGATTCATGCTAATGTTTGACAGAAAACAACAAAATTCTGTAGAGCAATTATCCTTCAGTTAAAAAATAAATAAACTTAAAAAAAAAAGTGATGTCTGGGGTTAAAAAAAAAACCAGCTCTGGAAATGTGCATCAGATACTGTTATCTAGGTACTTCAAGAGGAGCTAAAGCAGAGGATATGGGAAAAGCCCATCCTAGAAAGGCCCCATAGGGTCCTTCTTGGTTACAGTCTTACCCACATGTTGACTGACTTCTAGGGACATAATGACTTCCATTTTCTACAAATTTCTAACTATTACAGACTTTCTTGGAGCAGATGTGACAACAGTTCAAAACTTCTAAAATTATTCATAAAGTTTTATGAAAAATGAAAATTCCTGAACATATTACACAATGGAAGAGAAAAAACAACCTCTTACTTTCCCCTCCCCTTAAAACACATGCATACGTGCATGAGCACACACACACACAGACACACACTCACACAGACGCATACTCACATTTACATATTTCTCTTTTCGGGACCAAATTTCTTGTACTACACACCATGATGCTCTGTTCCAATGAACTAGCAAAGTTCATGTGAATTCACAAAGTAAATTGAAGCAAGATAAACCCATTATTAATGTAAAGTAATAAATATCTCCCTAGAAGAAGAGATGAGAATTACAGACAAGGGGAAGGATATATAAGAGAAAGGCCCCTATTTGAGAGTCTCCTCTGACTGGGTTCTTATTCCTATACAAAATCACATTTAAGTTAATTTTCAGAAATTATTGCATGACCATTATAAATCCATTGGCCGAATTAAAAGGGAGTAAGAATGAAAAATATTATTTCAGTTAAGAACACAAATGTACTAGATTGGTGAGTCCTTTATCTAACTAATAGCAGTTACTAAATATCTTCTGTGTGTATATCTGTATTTAACTGTGCATGCACATGACATTCAGAGAAGTTTGGCATAACTGAAAACATTAGGGGGCAACCTATTTCTTGTGTTCAATGGCACCAATATTTAGTGGACAGACAACATGTACAAAGTGAACTGGAATCTCTCTATTCAGAAATTTGGGCTTTATGTTTGATTCGACTTGCATTTAACATTTCAGTTATGCTCTCTCTATCACGGGGACTGGTGTATGGTGAGCTCATGAGGCCGGCAGGCTTGAGACCCCTTCTATAGAGTTTATGCCATTGAATTACTCATTAGGAAGAAAAAAAGACTTGCTTCTGAAATATCCCACACCGTGGTCTGCTTCCAGAAATAGTGAGTGATTTCTAGGACAGAGAGGTGACATCCAGACCAGAACCTGGCTCGCTCCTTAGCTGAAATCGTAAAGAGAATTGAAGCTCCTTGAGTCCCCGATGCACTGTGAAGCTTTGTCAGGGATACCGGGACTGATCCAAGTGTGGTCTGAGGTTTCCCAAAGCCTGTGAGAGCTGAAAGACACCACTGTTACATGTCTGAGAGCCCAGAGCCAAGAAGTTTCATGTATTCACATAAGACCACAACCCCTCAGAACTGTGATATAGGCACTAAACAATTTATAGTTCAGTTGCCTTTCGGCGAGTGCTCTTTTAAAAATCTATTAATTTATTTAGTGGCTGTGCTGGGTCTTCGTTGCTGTGTATGCTTTTCTCTAGCTGAGATGTGCAGGCTTCTTGTTGAGGCGGCTTCTCTAGTAGGAGCACAGGCTCCAGGCGTGGGGGCTTCAGTTCTTGAATACATGTGTTCACTAATTGCAGTCCCTGGGCTCTCGAGCGCAGGCTCAATAGCTGTGGCACATGGGTTTAGTGGCTTCTTCATATGTGGGATCTTCCCGGACCAGGGATCAAACCCATGTCCTCTGCAACAGCAGGAGGATTCTTATCCACTGAGCCACCAAGGAAATCCTGGAGAGTGCTTTTAACCATGTAAAATTTTAAACGCTTTTTACCATTTAAATTTTTTGAGTTCTAATAACCTTCACGACTTGACACTTTTTTCAAGAATACCAAAACAAATAGGAATTTGGAGGATTTTGCCTGATAGAGCTTGCCCTCTGAGTTTCCTTACTGGTCACGGTATAGTTTTCAAAGGACGTCTTCTCCCACATAATAAGAGAAGCAGTGATAAATTCCCATAGCCCAGGAACTACTGGCCTTGATCTCAGTTAGTTGGTTCAAAGATCCTGACAGCGAGATGGAGCAAAACAGGATGTCAGCAAGACCCCAGAGGCTACCTCTGGGCACTTTGTGCACTAGATGATGTAACATTATCTTGAGCAAATATGAGTTATAGGAATTCTTAGCTAACAGTCACATTCTCCTGCAGTTTTAATTTCTGATGCTAATTGAATGTGTGATAGGAACAGCCCCAAGTGGGGCCCACACAGAGCCCTGGACATTTGTGGTGGTGAAGGACCCAGACGTGAAGCATAAGATTCGGGAGATCATTGAGGAGGAAGAGGAAATAAACTACCTGAAGAGGATGGGACCTCGGTGGGTCACAGACCTGAAGAAATTCAGGTACAAAAGTGGGGAGAATCAGGCATGTTCGGTTTGGCTTCTTAAAATGAGATAACTAAGATTCAGTTTCCTGGTTTGTTTTAGGGGTTAAAAAGTTTCATTTTACCTGTGGGAGAAATAATGGAAGTGCAGCCAGGCCTCACCTCTGTGTTGCCTTGAGCACACATATTGAGCAGGTATCAGAGATGCTGGCTGGGATCACAGCTCAGTTCATGTCTCAGCTCTGGTTTTTCCAAGTGCAAGACCTTGGGTGTCTGCTTGCTGTCTCCAAGTGCATGAGTCTGGATTCTGCAGAGAAACAGAATGAATGCAGAGACAGAGACAAAGACAGAGAGAAATAGAAACACACAAGAAAGAGATTTATCATATTATTACATATAACAGATAATATTATTTATTATAGAGCTTCTCTGGTAGCTCAGCTGATAAGGAATCCATCTGCAATGCAGGAGACCCTGGTTCAATTTCTGGGTCGGGAAGTTCCCCTGGAGAAGGGATATTCTCCAGTATTCTTGGGTTTCTCTGGTGGCTCAGCTCAGAATCCATCCACAGTGCAGGAAACCTACGTTCAATCCCTGGGTTGGGAAGATCCATGGAGGAGGGCATGGGAACCCACTCCAGTATCTTGCCTAGAGAATCCCCATGGATGGAGGAGCCTGGCAGACTATAGTCCATGAGGTCACAAAGAGTTGGACACAACTGAGAGACTAAGCACGTTTTAGTACATTATTTATTATAATAGACAATTTATTATTTATAATTGGCTCATAATTACTTGAGCCAACTTATTATAACTGGCTTAAATGGTTACGAAGGCTGAGAAATCCCAAGACCTGCACTCAGCAAGCGGGAGGCCCAATAGAGCTGATGCTGCTGTTCCAGTCTGAGTCCAAAGGCCTGGGAATCAGGGGAACTGATGGTGTATGTTCCAGTCCAAGTCTGAGTCCAAGGGCAGGAGAAGACTGATGTCCCAACTCAAAGACAGTCAGGCAGAAAATTATCCCTTACTCCACCTGTGTTTTCTCTACTCAGGGCTTCAACAGATTAGATCAGGCCACCAACATTGGGAAGGTTAATCTGCTTTACTCAACCTGCCAATTCACATGTTAATCTCATCCAGAAACATGCTTTCGACACACCCAGAATAATGCTTAACCAACTATCTGTGTTCCTTGTGTCCCAGTCAAGTTGGCACATTAACTTAACCATCACATTAAGCTTCTATTTTTTTCACCCGAAATAATGTTAAAAACTTGGTATCAGGATTAAATAAGATAGAGGCTAAGAGTAGGGCCTTAGAAGCTGGAGTGCTTGGGTTCAAATATGAGATCTACTATTTATTAAACTCTTTGTGCCTCAGTTTCTTCATCTGCAAAATGGAAATAAGTCTAGTGTCTATTTCACTATGAAATCTGGATGTGTTTGTAAGCATGCAGAACAGCGATGACACATAGTAAGTCTAGTAAACAAGTAGGCTCTGACCCAAATAATTATTAGCAAACAAAACTTTGAGGATGTACTTTTCTACTATCTGGAGCATAAGACTGTGAAATTCTCAGGATCTTGAATGAATAAATGACATCTTGCTATAATGATCACATCTTCCCCATGATCTCGCTGAGCAGGCTTTAGTTTTAGTACATGCTCAATAAAAGTACAAATTTAGTGCAGTTATAATATCCATTAGGCATTAGTAACTTTGCAGGTTTTCTTAACTCCAGGGAAAGAGAGTTGGAATTCAGTGTAACTGGCTTTACCATGAAGCTTCAATGTATTAGAGCAGACACATGTGAAGTTTCATTTTTTTCTAGAATCTGCAACTAACCATGCCCTGTTGAGCACATTTTCCCCGTTGAGGACCAGTCACCCTACATTATATCTAGGATGAATTCAGGATTTTCTCAGTCATTTTCATAGTTAAAAACACTCCATTTTTTCAGACTAGGCCTTGTTATTTTATTTTTTAATTAAAATGTTTCTTTAGTTTGTTGTTTATCTTTTCAGCTGCACTGGGTCTTTGTTGCAGCACATGAGCTTTCTCAAGATGAGGCACATGGCTTAGCTTGTTGCAGAGAAAGTGAAAGTCGCTCAGTCGTGTCAGACTCTTTTCGACTCCATGGACTATATGGTCCATGGAATTCTCCAGGCCAGAACACTGGATTATGTAGCCTTTCCCTTCTCCAGGGGATCCTCCCAACCCAGGGACTGAACTCAGGTCTCCCGCATTGTGGATAGGTTCTTTACCAGATGAGCCACAAAAGACGCCCCCTTCAGCCTTGTTATTTAGGACACTGGTCGCAGGGTCCTCTTTACAAACACTGCACTCGTCATAGGCGTTTCGTTTCCCCTCTGAAGTCTTCTCAGGTTGAGCATGAGGAGGGGTGGGGTGCCAACTCTAGCCCTTGGCGTGTAGAAGGTAGGAGTTCTCATGCCCCAGGCTGTCAGCTGTGGGCCTTTAGTGGCCACTTCCAGCACCAGCCATCCAACACCCACTGTGACAGAAGCCTGAGGAAAGGCAATGGGCTCACCACCTTGTGGAGTGAAGCGGGGGTCTCCTCTGGTGGACAAGGCTGGGTGATGAGAAGGCTGGCCTCTTAGACCTGCTCCTTTCATTTCTTTGGCCCCAGCAGACATTTTTTTTTTCCTGAGATACTATTTAAACTGTATCAAAATGGATGTCTATTGGCAATGTAACTTATAGTTGTGTTCTGGAATAAGTGCAGGGTATTAATAATAAATACATAAATCTTACAGCACACTTATGAGAAAACACAGACAGGTCAAGTCCAGTTGAGCCCGTCCCTCTTAGAGAGACGTTTTGCTCTTGTGTGTATGCAGTACCTACAACACACTGCCAGCCCCGTCTGTCCCCAGTGAAGGCAGAATCGGCTGCTCTCTTGTCTCTATGCCCAAAGCACTTTATACACACCTTCCATGCATCTGAAATAGCCATTACCACACAGGATTTTGGGCTTCCCTGGTAGCTCAGCTAGTAAAGAATCTGCCTGCAATACAGGAAACCCTGGTTTGATTCCTGGGTTGGGAAGATCCCCTGGAGAAGGGATAGACTACCCATTCCAGTATTCTTGGGCTTCCTCGGTGGCTCAGCTGGTAAAGAATCCACCTGCAATGCAGGGAGACCTGGGTTTGATCCCTGGGTTGGGAAGATGCCCTGGAGGAGGGCATGATAACCCACTCCAGCAGTTTTGTCTGGAGAATCCTCATGGGCAGAGGAACCTGGTGGACTACAGTCCATGGGGTCACAGAGTCGGACACGACTGAGTGACTAAGCACAGCACACAGTACTTTAATTGCTGGCTTGCTTTTCTTCTCATTTTCATTTCCATATTTTGGAAACCTCTGTTGTACACCAAGATACTCATGAGAGTCCAATGAGCATTACGGACTTTCTCTGAAGACAATATGTACACACAGATATGTTCATAAAAAATCTAGGGCCCAGCCTTGTATCACTTAGCACAGTGCTAATGTATAGTAGGTAACTGAATAAATGTTTGCTAAATTGCAAATGAACACTCACCTCACTCACCTCCTGATATCCAATTTAGGTCAGTTCTCAAACTCAGGGCTGTCATTAAAGCCTATAATATACAATCTGGTCCAACTTACCTGTCAAGCTTTGTTCTCCTGCTCCTGGCAGGAGGCCCTCTGCCCCAGGCAGAAGGTGTTACTTGTCCTTTCTTAACAGGCGTCGGCATGTGGCAATCTGTATTAGTTCTAATAAAATGTCATAATACATTCCTGTAAAATTGAACAAACCAAAATACTAGCCATCAATGTATGCCTTGGCAGATAAGTATGAAAATTGTAAAAAATTACTACCCTGCCTCCAAAAATAGTAAATTGCTTATTCTTCACCTTATATTTAAAAATTGTTTTTAATTATTCACTGTAAAATAAAATATAGTTGTGATAATAACACTAGCCATTGCAAGCATGGCACCATGTCCTGGGTACCATTCTAAACATTTGATTTATTTGCACTGATTTTACCACCACAAAACCTTTTGAGGTGAGTACATTTTACACATGAGGAAGATGAGCTGTGAGAAAGGGAGAGACTTACCTAACATGGCAAAGCTAGTTGACTCCAGAGTGTTCTGGTAAACTAGTAACATTCTCCCTCCTTCTAAAGAGGAAAAGCATTGATCCTAGTCAAACGTGAGTAAGCTGGTTGAAGTACGGTGAAGTAGCTTTGAACAAGTAACCTACAGTAGTTAAGTAGGGTAAAAGAAACCATAGAAAAATATACATGATATACATGTGAGTTTAGTGTATTTTAAACAAGGAAGTATTATACTTCCTAGGTTAAAAATGAAATCAATGATTACTGTCTCTTGTTTACTGATGACATTATATACCCTAAGGGAAAATTCTAATATATAGCGTTGAATGAGAGTCTTTCCTTTGAATACCCATGCTAGAATGAAGATTTGCCAAAATATATGGGCAGGGTAATGAAAGACATGCTCTTAGCTGGAAAACAAAAAGGGAAACTCAGCATTTATATCTCCCATGAGTTATGTCTCTCTCCCACAAAGGTTTCCTTCCTTCTCTCCATAACTGGGCTAAGGATCACCATCTGGAGACTCGCTTCAGCCTCACTGTCACATTTTCTGTCTCCCTTTGCACCCCTGTATCATATCTGTCAGCTCCAGCCTTCACAGCTCCCCAGATTCTCCTGGGCCAAGGCCATCATCTCCTCTCTGGTCTCCCCGGAGCTGGTCCACACCAACCTGGCTCTTTCTGAAACAGATCTGATCATGTGATGCTTCTGCTCAGAAATGTGGTAACTTTTCCTGCCCTGCTAAACAAAACCCTGTGCAAAATCTGTATGAAAACTGCCAGCCCTCCAACACATGCTCCACCTCTTATACCATGCTCCAGCCTATCAGACTTCTGAAATCCCTGGCTGGCCAAGGATTCTCCTTCCGACTCTGCCCTTTGCTCATCTCTTCACTAGGGTGCCCTCCTCAATGCCCTTTTTCCACTTGGCCTTCAGCATCCCTCCTCAAGAGAAACCTTGGATACAATCTGACAATCTTCTTTTTTAAAATTAGCATTTCATTTTTGAGCTCCTAAGGCATTTGGCTTATTTTTCTTTCATAAAACTTACCAAGTTTTTATGTTACTTAATGTGACTTATTACCCTCTGGGTTATAGGATCCATCTTTGTGTCTTTTCAGTCTTGCCATATGACTTTTTTATGAATATCTGTTTATTGGTTTTGGCTAGAAAAAGATAAATATGACAAAAGAATAATCCTGGTCTTTTTCAATTTTAACATAAAAGACAAGTAAATGTTTTTATTTTTCATGTCAGTAAGGTGGTAAGAGGGGAACAAAAGAACCATTAACAGAAAATATTCTGAATCTTTTTCTCTCCTTTAGGACCAATTGGATTAAAGAATACTTGGACACTGCCCCTGTTTTGATTCTCATTTTCAAGCAAGTCCACGGATTTGCTGCAAATGGCAAGAAAAAGATTCACTACTATAATGAGATCAGCGTTTCCATCGCTTGTGGCATCCTCCTAGCTGCCCTACAGGTATGCCGCTCTCCCTCTCTGTCCAAGAGAGAGAAGTGATATGTGGGGCCGACTGTGGTTTTATTTGTAAATTTCAGCTGAGTTTCTAGTTCAGGGGCTAGTACAGTTTCATCTAAAGTTGAATTCCTAAGGCAAGTTACTCTGATGTATAAACTACCTCTGGAAAGCTGGACTGGTGAGGATGATGGTTCAAACAATCCGGAATCCTTCCTGGAAGTTTACTTACAACATCAGTTAAGGGTCAAAAGAATGGTCATTGTGTTTGCCTTCTTTTGTAAGGACATGAAACTTTTAAGGGTTTTGGTAAACACACATGAGAAGCTTCGGAACTTGAAAGTTGCAGGGCCTGGCTTCTCAGTTGTGTTCACTGTTGTCTGAGTCAGTGGGATGATTAAAAAGCCATAAGGGGGACTCTATTATGGAGCTCCTATCCCGAGAAGTTGTTTATATATTGCATTAGAAACATGTCCATGACAAAAAACAAAAAGAAGAAGAAATATGTCCATGTGCTTAAAAAAAAAAAAATCCATCTATATAGTAGCTACAATAACACTAAGCATGAAATTGAACAGGAATTGAGGTCTGCCTTTCACAAGATTCAAGTCATTCATACACCAGATATTTTCTGAGCTCCTTCTCTGTGGCAGATTCCAGAAGGCACCAGGAATAGTTGCCTCCTGTGTGAACAGTATACTCTAGTGGGGACTGCAGTCCTGGGAAGGGGTGGAGAGATGGTAAACAAGTGAAATAAACAAAGCAAACAGTATTATTAGAGCGAATGAGCCAGCTTTCAAGGGATCAAGGGACAGTCGACGGCAAAAACCTATGTGCTTCTTCTTTATCTCAAAGGAAAACGTGCTTGCTGAAAGCCTGCAAAATAGTCACTGTGGCATAAAAGAGGGGAAAAAAACCATAAAAAATAAAACATTAAAAAAAAACATAAAAAACACTTTAGATGACTTGAAAAATGGTTACAAAGGAGCTGGCGTCCCGTCCCCTTCCTGATTCTGAAACAGATAAATAAAGGAGGTGCTGTACAAACGTCACGAAGGTCAGACCGCAGGGCACCGCCGTTATCCTACATAGGGTCCCGGGAGAAGCAGTTTCGCCTTGTGCCGCTGCCTTCAAGCATCGGCTTCTGCGCGTTTGGCTAGGCAAACCTCTCCACTTTAGCGTGGAGTTTGCTGCCCTCTAGCGTTCTGTAAAGTGTAATGAGTGTGGGTTTTGTGATTAGTCGTTTTGTGAGAGAGGAAGGACTCTTCTGGGAGCCCGCCTGGACAGATTGCTCAGGAACTGTAGATATGCTTGACTCCCAAAGACAATTCCAGAACTTCCTTCTGGCCCAGGCTTCCCACTGACCATCTAACGCGAAAATCAGGGGGAGGATAGAGAGAGCCAGCTGGAAAAGTGGCTTGAAGCTACAAGTGATTTTTATCGAATGTTTATTATTCAAGGGGATTGGGCAGAGGTTGGTGGAATATGTCCTCTACCTCTTAACGTACCTCTTGGCCACTGGGTCCTCCATCGCTGGACGTCAAGTATTCTCAGCTGGGGTGATGCTTTGCTTCCCCTGGTTGGTTGTACAATCACAGGAACTGGTTTTTGTCATTCCATTTCTTTGGTGTGAGTCAGTTCAGTCGCTCAGTCGTGTCTGACTCTTTGCGACCCAACGGACTGCAGCACGCCAGCCTTCCCTATCGATCACCAATTCCCGGAGTTTACTCAAACTCATGTCTATTGCGAGTCAGTGATGCCATCCAACCATCTCATCCTCTGTCATCCCCTTCGCCTCCTGCCTTCAATATTTCCCAGCATCAGGGTCTTTTCCAATGAGTCGATTCTTCGCATCAGATGGCCGAAGTATTGGGGTTTCAACTTCAGCATCAGTCCTTCCAATGAATATTCAGGACTGATTTCCTTTAGGATTGACATGCTTGATCTCCTTGCAGATCAAGGGACTCTCAAAAGTCTTCTCCAACACCACAGTTCAAAAGCATCAATTCTTTGGCTCTCAGCTTTCTTTACAGTCCAACTCTCATATCCATATATGACTACTGGAAAAAACAGAGCTTTGACTAGACAGACCTTTGTTGGCAAAGTAATGTCTCTGCTTTTTAATATGCTGTCTAGGTATGCTGACATATAATATGGTGTCTGGGTATGATTAGATACCTCAAATTTCTTTCCATGAAACAACCATTCCCATTTTTTAAGCACCAGTGAAGAATAAGACTGGTAGTTTCTTCTCTGAGAAGCTTCACACTGTGTGGTTCAGAGATGGAGTCTGGGGAGGTCAAGGAGGGTAGGAAAGATTCAAGACACCATTGCCCAAGTCGGTAGCTTCTTTTCTGCCCAACTATGGGACAAACAGTCTTACGGGGACTAGAACGTGCCCATGCTACAAGCAGAGCTGGGGTTTTGCCTGCTGACTTTTAAATGTTTTTTCTTTTTCTCTCCTGTTGTAGAATGCCGGACTGGTGACTGTCACCACCACGCCTCTCAACTGTGGCCCCCATCTGAGAGTGCTTCTGAACCGCCCCACCAATGAAAAACTCCTGATGCTGCTCCCTGTGGGGTACCCCAGCGAAGACGCCACGGTGCCCAACCTCACACGGAAAACTCTGGATCAGATCATGGTGACTGTGTAGGCAGGACACAGGCAGGCAGACGCTGGAAGATGCCCTGCTCCCCTCTCCGGTTCCTCTTTCCCTGGGCATTCCGTCTCCCTGGCACTCCACCCTGCAGGGGTGGCCACTATGTGAGTCAAAAAGCCTTTCCATTTTCTCCAGCACTTTGAGTCTGAGAGGCCTGGTTCCGATAGTGTGATTAGCTGAACATACAGAATAAGGGATGAACAGGTATGTTCCCTTCCATTCCTTATTCACTTTGGAAATGCATTAAATGTTTATTAAGAATATGCCCTGGTTTTTAAGTATTTCTAAATTGTTCCAGAAAAATCATGGGGGATTTTTTTTCTCCTTTGCTCTTTAAAAATTCATAGAGGAAAGAGTTATCAGAAAATTTAGCATAGTCCCAAGAGTTCAGCTGTGTGATGATTTCTGAATTTAAATTTAGATTGATCAAATCTTTCTGGTGCTTTCTGGTGGCTTTTAAGCAAGGATTATTTTTAAGAGGAAATTTTTCTGAGCTTCATGGATACTCTGCTAGTTTTCAGTAAGTAACCTTCAAAATATTTAAAACCTCACAAGCACAGAACAGAACAGCGCATGCTTGTGCAGGTGAGTTGAACTGGCCACCATCTGGGATATAAATAGTTAGTCGCACTGTCCAGCCCAGTGTGTGTTGGAGCTGGCTTGCACCAGCTCGTGGAAGCTGATGGTTAAATATTCATGAATTTTTCATGCCAGTTATTAAACCATTTGTAGCTTGAAATTGCCGATGGTGGGAGTACACCACGGCAAGTGGCAGACACACAAATTAGGACTGGCTTTCTTTTTCTTAAAGAGCACTGTTTTCCAGACACTAACAATGTCCCTCGTCTTTTCCACTCTCCTCCATGAAACGCACTTATCCTTTTTATCCAGATGGCAGTCACACTGTTTGGAACCCATGGGGCCACAAGGTGCTGGTGGGGGGACACTGCCAGCTCCAGCCCTTCACCCGTCACTTCTGTCTCCCTTCCAGGGGTGCGGCTCACAATGGCACAGGAGTAGCTCAGATAATTGCTCATCAAGCAACTGTACTCAGACTTCTCCTGCCTCATGTCACTTTGTATGTGAGTCACACAGTGCATTGATAGGATCATCACCAGTGTCACTGATAAGAGTCAGGGCTGGCGACAAATCTGAATCATAGAAAAGGAAGACTTTTTTCCCCTTTAAAATATAGAGGGAATTCCCTGGGAGTCCAGTGGTTAGGGCTCCATGCTTTCACTGCTGAGGGTGTGGATTCAATCCCTGGTCTGGAAACTAAGATCCTGCAAGCTTTGTGGCTTGGCCAAGAGAAAAAAAGAAAGAAAACTTAAAAAAAAAAAAAGATATACACACACACACACACACACACACACACACACACAGAATTAGGTATTATAAGAACCTGTGCTTTTGACCTTTGAAATCCTTTGAAGTAGCCAGATGTCTCTTTTAGAATGCCCCAAATCTTCCATCTAAATCTTTTTTTTCTCTAGACGTTCTTTTCCCCAGGTCTACACATTTTACTGAATCCTTCCCTTCCTACATTTTGTTTCTATTCTTTTTCAGCCAATTATTAGTACTGTGATAGGTGTTTGTCCTGAACTCTTCACTGTAAACGAATATTGTTTTAACTGCATTGCGGCTTTATTAGACCTAATCACAGTACTTCCAGTAGTTTTTAAAAGGACAAAAGATACTCTTGAGTTCCAATGGGAGAACAATAAACACTTTGGTATCACAATGCAAAGAAACTGAAGTTGTATTTATGAGCTTGTGTTTCTTCTGTTTTGAAGCTGTTTGAACTCAGGGGGTTCTTTACTAGTTTCAGTGAATCCTGCTGAAGAGGTGAGGGAAAAGGGGAAACTTGCCTCCCGGATGTAGGGTGGAAAAGGAATCCACGCAGGCTACTGTCCATGGGGTCGCAAAGAGTCGGGCACAACTGAGCGACTTCACTTTCTTTCTTGGTATTATTTAGTTATGACTAACCTAAAGAGCATATTAAAAAGCAGAGACATTACTTTGCCAACAAAGGTTGTCTAGTCAAGGCTATGGTTTTTCCAGTAGTCATGTATGGATGTGAGAGTTGGACTATAAAGAAAGCTGAGTGCAGAAGAATTGATGCTTTTGAACTGTGGTGTTGGAGAAGACTCTTGAGAGGCCCTTGGACTGCAAGGAGATCCGACCAGTCCATCCTAAAGGAGATCAGTTCTGAGTGTTCATTGGAAGGATTGATGATGAAGCTGAAACTCCAATACCTTGGCCATCTGATGCAAAGAGCTGACTCATTTGAAAAGACCCTGATGCTGGGAAAGATTGAAGGCGAGAGGAGAAAGGGACGACAGAAGATGAGATGTTTGGATGGCATCACTGACTCAAAGGACATGAGTTTGAGTAAACTCCGGGAGTTGGTGATGGACAGGGAAGCCTGGCATGCTACAGTCCATGGGGTTGCAAAGAGTAGGACATGACTGAGTGACTGAACTGAACTGAACTTGATACTATTATGAATGTTATTACTGTTCTGATTAATACTATGTGCTATGCACATTTGACCATGAAAATTAAAACCATAAAATGACACCCTTCAAGAGTCTTGTCCTTAATGCATTAAATCATCTTAAAACGTGAAAGAACACTGTCTGCTGTCTCAGCTTGAGCCTGTTTTGAGGATGGAGGTTAATTTGACTATGTCTGATGGGTTCTGGGAGCCTCTGGATGGGACTTCGGAATCTCTTTAATAGTAAGATCTATAAACAGAGGTCTTTTTTTCTTTGTTTGTTTAACTTTTAATTTTATATTGACATGTAGCCACTTAACAATGTTGTGATAGTTTCAAGTGCACAGCAAAGGGACTTAGCCAAAGACACACATGTATCCATTCTCTCCCAAACTCCCTACGCATCCAGCTGCCACATAACTTTGAGCAGAGTTTCCTGTGCTATATGTAAGACCCAGCTGGTTATCTGTTTTAAATATAGCAGTGTGTACATGTCCATCCCAAACTCCCTATCTTTCCCCACATTCTCCCCCGCTACCCCGGAGATCTATCAACAGAGATCTATCTAATAGTAGGGAAAAGCATCCTTGGAAAACTTTTTTCAGGGAAGAGACAATGAAGACACATAGTAAGATACCACGATGACAATCAGTGTCAGAAAAAAGAAGCAAATCTAAATGTGGCGTAGACAGCTGCTCCCAAGTTATATATTGTCCCCACTTGTTAAAGAATCTGCTTGCAGTGTGAGAGACCCAGGTTTGATCCCTGGTTGAGAAGATTCCCCTGGAGAAGGGAATGGCAACCCACTCCAGTACTCGTGTCTGGAGAATCCCATGGGCAGAGGAGCCTGGAAGGCTACAGTCTATGGGGTCGAAAGAGTCAGACACAACTGAGCAATTAACACATTTGTTAATCATCTCAACATTTTGTCATAGACTCACCCTATGGAGACTTGCATTGCTTGCTCTTTTCTGTTGGCTGTGACTATTTTTTTCCTCTCACTTTCACCATTATAAATCCAACTGGCCTTTCTTGTTTCTTCTGTCCTCCCTGCTCCCTCTCCCCCATAAATTATTCTGATCCTGGTAATAAAGGCCTAACAATGACAGGTGAGGGGAGACCTTTCTTAGCCAGTTGGGGAGAGAGGAGGAGATGCTGCAGCCTCATATGTCAATATCACCATCGAGGCCACGTCCAAGAGTCAGTGGTGGCAATGGGCTCAATGGTTGAGCACAAGAGAGTTACTCAGCCTGGGTTTATTATATCCCTGCTCTGCCAGACATCTAAAGGGAAAAGTCCTTGGTAGTCTTAGGCTAAGTGCTTAATCAAGGCTCGTATCTGATGTGTAAAATGGGGTGAGTCATATGTTACCTTGTGGGGTCTGGCATAGTCTCTGGTACACAGCATTTAAAAGTGATAGCGTCTTGATGTGAAGGTGATGGTTGACATCACTGTTGTCTTCAGGCAGCCCTACTTTGGGTTCCAGGTGAGCTAAGATTAGAGGGGTGGGTGAGGGACCCCTTCCTCTCAGATGAGAGGCCTGGCTGGGGTTCAGGTGGCAGCTGCAGGCCAGCTGAAGGTGGCCCAGGGTGTCAGCTACACTGGGTCAGAGAGCTTCCCAGCAGATGTCACCACTGGGAGCCTAAAATGCTTTTTTTCCCCTCTGTTGTAGTTAATGTTATCAATTCGATATGCATTTGGGTAATTACTCCTTACATGCATTTTTAACATTTTTAATTAAAAATTACAGTTGAGGAAGAGAAAATTGGAAGCGCTCACCCTAGAGATTACATACCTTGGCCCAGGAGTGATTTCCTCACCCCCACAGCCCACTGGCTGGAACTGTCATGTGGCCCCGTCAGAAAGCCAGGAAAAGTCACCCTCCTGTGTCCAGAAGGAGAGGGAACTGAGATGGGGCTACACAAGCATTAGAAGTCTTTTCTTCTCAAACAAGTAACTTAAGACTTCAGAAATAAAATTGGATACAAAAAATGTGTGGAGAGAGAAAGGAAGGCTGAAGAAATGGACAAAATTAGAATTAGGATGGTGCAAGGCATAAAGGTTCTCTTCTGAAAAGTAAACATTAAAATTGGTTGATACTTGTCTGATGCAGCTTTTAAATACAGCATAAATTTAGGCCAAGAAAGTTAATGTAAATGTATTGAGAAGGAAACTCAAATTCCCTTCTTCCTAAACATTCCTACCTCTGTCCACAAAATTAAAACTTCTGTCTCAGAAGTGGGCTCCCCTGGTGGCTCAGATAGTAAAGAATCCACCTGCAATGCGGGAGATCTGGGTTCGATCCCTGGACTGGGAAGATCCCCTGGAGGAACACCTGGCAACCCAGTCCAGTATTCTTGCCTGGAGAATCCCCGTGGACAGAGGAGCCTGGTGGGCTGCTGTCCATGGGGTCGCAAAGAGTCGGACACGGCGGAGTGACTAAGCACATCTCAGAAGTGCTGAGGGAAAGTCCCTATTTTCATGTCACTTGCTAATC